CTATGCCATGTCCCTGAAATAGGGGATTGCACCTATCCCCATTTCATTCATTACAAAATCCAGGCACAGAGACTGATACCTTTGTTCTCAAAGTCACCCACTAGCCTACGTCCCACCGATAGGAATGAGAAGGAAATGTGAAGAAAGACCCTAAATTTTCACCTAAACGAATTTTTGCAGATATAGTGAAAATCCACACAGATGGTGATATCACACAGCCTTTCACTACAGACCCAGTGCTCTACCAAGTAGGCCACTACTGATTTGTAACCGAATTTTAGCAGGGCTCTGAAACTGTAGACATGTTAGAGAGTGGTGATCAGAATGAATAATTCTGAGCTGTCCAAGGAGCATGATAATAACAAACTGCTGCTCATCACTTTCTGAAGGTGATTTTTGTCAGAGGCCGTCCATGGGATTCTGTGAAACTCCTTAGGTGACTCGATTCCAGCAGCAGCAGCTGAAACCTCCAAAGACTCAGCTCTTGAGGATGCCCTCCTTGTACTAGCTGAGACATAAATACAGATGTGTATTTGCCTTACCAGAATTGCTGCATTGATACACTGTCATCTACAGATTCTGTCAGCTTTTTACCCTTTCCCTCAGTTACTACCAGCGTTGAGTGTTAGACACTGACTCAACAAGGCAGAATGTCAAGGTTTTACGTCCTCATGCACACCTAGGGCTTCAAATTGTACCAACAGCTAAAAAGTACCTAATCAAGGGGCATTTCATTGGACGACACCAGGCTGTGGATTCAGGAGCTGAACTAGCAGCAGCAGCTAGACTCTAGAAGGAGTGAAGTCAGCTTCCCCTCCTGTCTCTGGCACCTCAGGTAGCACAAGTTTGGGATCACAAAACTCAGAAGAACATTTGGTCTATGTGACACACCTGCCACGCACAACCTCTTTCATAACCATGGTATTTAACTACCAGCATACATGGTCATCCTTGCAGACACTGAGAAAATACGTATGTGACCCATGCATTTTCTGTTTCTCCTGAGAGAAGTGGATGGGCTGGGAGTGAGGTATTAATTAAGACTTGTTACTCTTGATAGACGTTAGCAGAGTTCTTAATCACTCAGGATGGCCAGAATACTCATCACCTGAGTTGAGAAACCACATCCTTCAACAACAATCTGCTTTCTTGCAGATTGCTTGCTTCTACATTTGCAGATTTATGGTAGTGTAACATGGGGTGAGCATTTGGGGCTTGAAAGAAAGAGCCACATTGTTGTCTGCCATGACTTTCTTCAGTTAAGGCACAAGAAGAGTATGAGGCCCACAATCCTTTTTCCTAGAGTTAAATGGGCTGTGGACAGTAGAGTAGCGACTACATGGGAGCAGCAGCTAGCCACAGGTAGAACAGCTGGCTTTGTAGAGGACAAGTCACAGGCTATAAGTAAAATCTTGAGGTATGCAGAACAGCCACTCTGAACTTTTCTTGTAGGTATAGCATATCATACATGAGCTGAACTCGACTTTCATTTGTTAGTGGCAACAGGCAACGAAAGTGCACGTATCATTTCTCTGGGAATTACGAAGGAATGAGATCATGAAACTCTGGCTTGTCCTACCCACTCACAGCAGTCCTGATGTCCCTCTAACACAAAGGTCAAAGCCTAAAGCTTTTTTTTCTGCCCACAAAGAGGGACAATAAATTTGCATTTCAATACAAAATTTAGAACATCTACGCATCACGAGGAAAATAACCGTCTGATTACATGACAGGGATTATGAGTTTAGTATCTTTGCTCTTAACCTATGTATGACATATAAGGCAGTACTGCATTCTCAAGGGAAAACCAGGAGGGAACTAAAGCTGATTTACCTGTGTGTTATAATCCCAACACTCAGCAATGAGTTTTCTAAAAGGCAACAGTCCCCGGGAAAGGAGACCAACACACAACTTATCTGTCCTAGCACAGTCTACTGTTTTGTTCCTGAAGCTTTTGCCTGTGATCCCCGTTTGTCAGAAACACCATAAATGAAATAGTTCAGCGTGTTCTGCCATATTTTCTGTGCTCTAGTGGGACATCAGAAACGCTAAACTTTACTTATTGCTCAGAATCAGAAAGGGAAAGATATCCTAGTACTGGACACAACATTCAAGGCCATGCGGTTTGTGAAATTGAGGGCTTTTTGCAACAGGATGGCAAATTCTGTATTTACACAGATCACTCCCACCACACAGAAGCAGAAATGTAACGTGACTTTTGTTCAGAGATTTACCATGTTTAATTATTCATTTTTTCAGTAGCTTAACCATGTATTCAGATAAATAAAGGAATAAACAAAAGTGTTCAAAGTGAGGCAATATTCTCTTTATGTTATTTTTAAATCGTGATCAGGTATCTGTGGGACATGGAAAACTAAAAACCAAACAAAGTACATAATCTTTGCTTCTCTAATAAAATTTAGCGCCAAATTCTGCTCTCGGGTAAATTTCTGTAAAGCATTGTCCATAAGGGCATTACGACACCAGGACATATCTCTGGGTTTAAAAAGTGCAAAAGATCAGGAGTTGTTCTCATGTCTTAGAGGCTCAGCACGCACCACATGGAGAGCTGGTGTCTGGCTCTGACACATACCGTCCTGCTGACCTAGTGCAAGCAGCATCACTCAACTCCAATGAGCTGATTTGATTTTGCCAGACTGTAATTTGGCTAAATTTGGGGGTTTTTTTGACTTCAGTTTGCCTGCTTCAACGAATGAGAGCACAATTTGGCTCCTTTCTCGGTGAAAAGGAAGCCAACCAAACACGACTTTCACCAGGCCTCAGCTTTTGGCCCCAGATTTCAACATACACTATTACAGCGATCAAAAGAACCATAGAAATTACTTATCATTTTACTGTTCCTTAACACATTTCACACAGTCCTGCAGCAAGCAGAATCACAGATGAACCTCAGAACATACAGAGAGCACAACTACTACACTGGACATGAAAAGGAAATTTTATTAAACATGTTTACATAACATGAGTTGGAAGTTCATTTAAAAGCACAGGGGAGTGTTAAGACAAGTGGTCAAAATAGAAAGATACTATCGAATTATAACTAGTTGGTTTTTGGCCACTAAGACAGAACAGGATCTAGTAGTAGTGCACCAATGCTTGAGTTCTTCCTGCTCAGCAGGTCGAGCAGTAACCAATCTGCGCCCTATGGAAAGATGGGCAGAGTAATTCCCACGTGTTGAGTAATAATAAATAGTTCACTTGGTGCAGGCAGTATGTCTATGAATTAAAACCTAGTGTGTACACAGTTGCTACGTGTGTTACAGCCCCACAGTAGGAATCTACACCAAAATAGTTATTAGAAGGAATTTGGTCCGTACTACATCACGTTTTCCATAGGGTAAAAAATAAAGTCCATCTATAGACATTTAGCACCAGACTCACAGACCTAGCCTGGCTAAAACCTGCAAAATGTCTATAAGAAAAATGGATGGCTTAGATTTCTTGGTTACTTCAGTATAGTAATTACGAGCAAACTGTACAAGTACATGCAACATACAAGCTGGCCTATGTGGAACTAACATACATTATTAAATAACCTTTTTCATCTCTTTTTACAAAACGTGCATGCAGCTTTTGAACAGTTCCAAGTCATGCTGCTCTATTTGTGTGATCACAAAATTGAATGGCCTGTAAAAGGAGGGGAAACATATCAATGCACCTGCAGGAATCTGCAGTTGTTCGCACATTTACAGAATATCACAAGGGATTTCAAGGCCAAGAATAACTCAAATGAATAAAAAGCAAATCGAAATTTGACTTTTTTTTTTTTCTCCAAAAAGTAAGATATCTTGCGTTAAAAAATCAAGCCTTGTGCTTGCATCAATCTCAAAGAAATGTAAACTAAAATTTGATAAAAACAGTAGTAAGTGCAGAATATTTCAACTGGAATTTCCAGTGAAACACTGAACAACTCATACCATGCTCTATCCAGGGCAGACAGGCGCGTCTGAAGCGACGCACATCAGAGAAGCCTGGGTACAGCTGAAAGTGTCATATGCTCAAATCCATTCCTGGTCAACATTTTGGGAAGTCAAATATACATTTATACACAGAAACGTAAATATTTCCTCTCCATTTCTAGGAGGAAAACTGCATTACCAGTAACATATTCAATGTCAAAATTAAGACTAAAGCTGCTTTATACCAGTCCCCAGCAGTAGTTGCAGAATTCTTCAAAATTCTTCCATGCAAAACATCATAAACATAAAAGTTATTATATATAATGCAAACATATCTGCTTTTTACAAAGGAAAAGTGGCACTGTGATGATTATTTATTTTTAAGAATATAACTTAGATTGGTCACTCGTTCTGGGTTCGCATGTGAGAGACTTGGAAATACCAGAACTAAGAAACGGTTTGAACTCGCTGGAATCGTAACTGTGGCTGTTGAACACTTTAACGATGCTTACAGAGATATGCTTCAGCCCTTTTTTGTTTGATTTAGAAAAAGAAAGGAAGGCTCTCTGTTAGCGTTGTGAGGACTTCTACAAAACTAGCAGAATCACATGGCAAAAAACTGGTGGAAGTGACAAGTACAGAAAAACTGCTGAAACACCAGGAAGGTAACACTGCTTGAAGGCTCTGTCAAAATGTGAAAAATACAACATTGTTAACAGAGCGAGAGCTTCCAGTTTGGCTCATCTTTGACTTAGTTCGAATCTAAAGGTCCCTCTCTCTCTCCTTTTCTTTTTTCTTTTTTTTTTTTTTTTTTTTTGGATTGTTATAAGCATCAGTGATAGCCGCTAATAGATTGGCTGCATGTGATACACCTTTGTTCTGTCAGTTTAAGCCATCTCTCAACAAACAGACATTTTTTGGATAGCTACTACAAGCAAAAACAGAAGTGATTGTCTCTCTCCAACAGCGTTTTTTGATCATGTGAATATCTGGTTCCAATTGTTATCCTGGGTGACGTTTTTATTAGACAGCACCTGCTACTATGATCTAATGCAGGGAGGCCCAGTTGAACTTTCCAGAGATGACTGGGAAGCCCTGCGTGTCAGGGGAGTCAAGGTTGGATCCACTAGTGACGAAGGTGGAAATAATTTGTACCAGCCTATTACCACACTGGACAGGTCCAGTTCCTCCAGAAGGATCTGGGCAACTCCCATGAAGCATTTGTGGTCCATTCGGCCATAGTCTCCCCAAACTATTACCTGGAAGAACATAAAATACAGGTTCAGCATTGTCCCCAAGCCCAGGCTTACATGCTCAGTCCTGCTGTGTTTCATTATGTGTAGCGTAAGGAAAATGTTACTCTTCAGGGTGAATGATTGCTCCCTCTTGTGGGAAAACCTAATGGCTGGACAGGGGCGAGAGTCAACAAAAGAGAAATGTTTAATACAGCCAGACATTTCGCAGGTCTGAAACCACAAGCCACAAGGACATGTTTGCTGGTATTTATAAAATTAAAGGCTTTGTGAGTTGGAATGGGTTTACGCACATTGCTTGAACTTAAGTAAACATGCGAACGCTTCTCCAAATGATAGCCTAAAATGGGATTAAGAAGCAACTGACCTGAAGGACTTTACCCTGTGGACTTTCATCAAAAACCAGTGTCTGCTGGTACAGAGGATCAAGGGTCTTCCGTGCAATTCTTGTCTTCTTCTTAGCTATACATGCTCCATTTTCCAATAAATACACTTTGACATATGGAGCTGCAAACAGAACACCATGAATTTTATGTTTGGTCTTTAAAACCTCTGCATTGCACCTCTGAGCTGGAGGACAAATACCTTAAAAGGAAGCTGAGTGGAAAGAGAACGACACACGCTATCTTCACTGTATAATCTGAATCCAATTATATTTATAAAATAAATGACACAGCCCATAAGAAATCAATTTTATGTTTATAAACCTTGAACTTAATGATCCAAGATGTTACTAACAACAATTCCATTTCATGTCTGTCCTTTTAAAAACTAAAATTCCCTTTGCCAGGAATTAACTGTCACTGATAGCTACTCTGGAGCCTCTATGTATGTTTAGGGGTCAGAGATATTTCAAAACAAAAGATTTTGATGTTTCGTTGAAAGGAATATTTAAAGCTAAGTCACTCAGATAACACAGACATTAATTGCTCTTTCATCTTCAGCTCCTAAGGAGGTTGTAAAGTACCATTTTGGCTAAATGTTATCTAAAACAACTGTTCCAGTTGTTATGGTAAGCAGTGGTTGTGGTGGAGATTATACATCTATTCTAATAAAGATTTCTATAAATAACCAGAACTTCCAAAAATGTCCTTATAAAATGATACAATATTAAATCTTATTCATTATACAAATTATGGACAGTGGCACTAGTATAACCTGCTGTCCCGAAGCACTGTTGCATCCAGAAGACCACGGCATGTGGCTCCATTAAGCTGTTTGTTCAAAGCACTTTCATCTATTCTCCATCTCTTGTTTTGATGTGGAGCAAACACAAAGGACTGCGTCTACATCGACAAAGCCCCTCTGAGATATGACTTGCCTAGGATACCTAGAAATACTTCTGCCAATGTTCCTTCCAGAACGGATGTTGAGTTGCTGAAAATCATTCCTTGAAAGGGGGCATGCAATTGGCGGATGTGAGGTGGTAAGAAGTGGACACTGGTAGCAAGGGTATATCCACACACACATTCCTCGTTGGAAAGCAAACCAAACAAATGCAAATGTAGTGATAGCTAACGAGGAGCTCAAAAAGTCTCTGATCCCCTGTTCATCAGCATATTTCATACTCTTGTTTTCTGTTCATATTTTTTTTTTTTCTCCTTACCCGGGGTAGATTTGGAGCCAGGTTTTTGTGTGAGGCCACGGGCTCTAATGACTTCTACTTCTAACTGGCCCTTTTTATCCACCATTCCAATCTGGATGTCACCTGAGAGGGAGAAGAAAGAAGCCCACATTTTAGAGAAGCAGCACGGCCCGGGAGATAGGGTATAAGAGCAAGAAACAGAAAGACTAGTTTGCTACTTGTCTGCTGCATTAGTCTGCCTGTCACCTCTCTTCCTGACCTTTTTAATTTCTCCATCCTTAAACCAGGACTAAAAGATATATACTTAGGGAGCATGGTTCCCTCTCCTGGTGTACGGATTATACCAGAGCTCAGTATTTCTGACCCATGGAGGCAGGCAAACACTATGGTATAAGCACCACACCTTTAATTTTGCACTGCTGAGTTATCCAGGGACTTCCTACCTAGGACTGTTGCCCCAGCGTGCCGGTTGCTGACATGCACTGCCCTGACAGTGGTCCCACACTCAAAGAGTCTAAAACCCAAACTCACGTTCAGAAATCCCCTCATCTGGAAGTTTCTGCCTCCAAGCTGAGATGCAAAAGCTGGCAGTGTGAAGGCGCCTTGGTCTGATGTAGCAGGAAGGCGAACGGCTGGCAGAGGCTAACGGCAAAACCTTCTTCTGTAACTACAGTTGCCTGACTGGATCCTCAGCATGAGGCAGAGACAACAACCAGACGAGGTACATGGTCATCACACAGATTCAGAGCATGATGCCCTGCCCTTGGGAGCTCAAAAGAGGTCTTTTTTTTTCTGCAAAATTCTCCAACGAGTACATGCGTGACAATTTTCCTGTTTTTATCAATATTCTACACCCATTTTTGGTATGAATAAAATGGCACGACATGTTAAAACAAGAAGCTGCTTTCACTACTAAGGAGTCAAACTTGTTTCCCTGCCTGAGTTCTGACAAGTGGCGTTTCCTACAGAAAAAGGAAACTGGTTAGTCCGAGACCGAGCACTGTTCTGATCTAGATCAATAAAATGCAAGGGAAGTCAGTTGTGGGCTGATGCTCAAAGCGTTACATCTCTACAGTTTCATATATCATGGAATCAGCTGGGTAGGGATCTAACAGGCCACTTAGAATAAAAAATGCACAGTATGACATGGGCAGCTGTGTGACACCTGTGCAAATAAATAAGCTACGCATATATCCACGAAACACGTGAGTATGTATATATTTGACATGCAAACTCTGATTGTCTAAAAAAACATACTTACAAATAGATAGTTGTGAACTATAGACTTGGGGTCCAGATTTAGAAAGACAGCATTTTGAAATTAATGGGGCATGAGATTTTCACATGCTTGTCTAACAGTATATTAAAGCTGTGTTTACACCTTGGTACTTGGGGTATGACAGAGCAGCAGGGAAGCTTTTTTTAATCAATCAAACTTTGCTTGAATAAACAGAACTCTGTGTTGCACTAAAAATAGTTCACAGGAAAATTCCAACCAGCCTTTTTTAAGAGCACATCTCTGAATCGCATATCCAAAATAAAACGTGTGCCAGGGAACCAGAAGGGGGAGTGATAATACAAACATTTTCAAATCATCACTAGTGAAAGGATACTACATAGGTGGTCTTCTGAAAATTGTTATAAAGAATGATTGAGTGCTTTTTGGGGGGCCAAAACCTGAGTCTTTAGTAAATAAAGCAGCTCTAAGAAGTGAAAATAAGTGTATTACTTAAATAAACTGCAGAAAAGTATTTAGTCAGAAAACAAGATAAAGATAAAGAGACGGAAGAAATCTAGACCCTTATATTCATACCAATAGAGCCAGTTAGATTTTTATTGGGCAAGTGTCCAGGTTTCGGCTGGGACAGAGTTAATTTTCTTCCTAATAACTGCCATAGTGCTGTGGTTTGGATTTAGGGTGACAAGAATGTTGATAATACACTGATGGTTTAGTTGTTGCTGAGCAGTGCTTACACCAGTTAAGGACTTTTCAGCTTCCCCTGATCTGCCAGGTGCAGAGAAGAAGCTGGGAGGGGGCACAGCCAGGACAGCTGACCCCAACTGGCCAAAAGGGTATCCCATCTCATATGACATCATATGAGCCCAGTATAGAAACTGGGGGCAGTTGGCCAGGGGGAGCAATTGCTGCTTGGGGACAGGCTGGGCATCAGTCAGCGGGTGGTGAGCAATTGCATTGAGCATCACTCGTTTTGTATATTTTGTATATTCTATTACCATTATTATTATTCCTTTCCTCTGCTGTTTTATTAGACTGTCTCTATCTCAACCCACAGGTTTTACTTTTTTCTGATTCTCTCCCCCATCCCACTGAGGGATAGGGGGAGTGAGCAAGCATCTGTGTGGTGTTCCGCTGCCTGCTGGGTTAAACCACAACAGCAAATCATCTCATAAATATCTTCTCTTTCCAAATAATAATAAAACCCCATGAATTTAACTAGTTTGGTGCTGGTTAATGCATTAGTATCAGTCATTTGGACTTGCACAGCAACCCTTCCCATAGGGGGTACTCAAAGCATTCTCAAGGAAGTTTTTGTCTCCTTCTGCTTGTGAGTTGGGAGGGGAACATTCTC